AACAACCAAAAGATATTATTTTCTTACAAGCTACAACTCTAAATACAGTAATGATTTGAAACTCATGCTTGAAAATATGTATTGCACACTTGAAATAATTCTAAAAACCTATGAAACAAGATTGAACAAGGTCAGATCAATGAATGTATACTTCTTACTACATTTGAAAGTGTACCTTACTCTCTTTGAATAGGTTTTCTAGAGAAGTCTGTTTCCTGTGTCATCTATGTTTTCTTTACATTGTTATATGCAGGGTGGGAGGTTACTTTGCTCTTTGCAGGTGAGCTTGGTAGCACTGCTTATAACTTCGCCAAATGTAAATAGTTGGTTTGAAATTTTTGATGTTGGCGTTTCTCTTGGCAAAATGCATGTATGAGAGCATGCACTTTGTTTCCATTTCAGCCAAAGTGTTGCAGCATCAGTTTTCAGAAACAAGACTTAAAAATTTACTATTAAAAAACCAAAGGCCTGGAGGCCTGTCTTTAAGATACTCCAACATGCCTGTGCTCCAGAAACGGGACTTAAAATTTATCCAGTCCAGCTGTTAGTCATTTTATTGAAAAGCTGTTCAATTTCAGACAAATTGCAAGCCTTCAAAATGTTGAAGTTCGCAGACGTTCAATAGAACCTTCAAAAATACTTAACTAGCTGATTAATTTGATGATGTTATATTCCAGCTCAGGCTTCAGCATGAGTTTCCACGTAGCTGTGGGTCTTTGTATCTTGAGGCAGCATCTTCTGAATTCTCAGTGTTCCTTTGCTATTTGACCAGAGTAGTTTGATCTAAATTCAGAAGTGGGTGAGGGAATATGCTAAGAGTGGATGAGAAACACGCAGGGGGAAGGTTGGAGTTGGGTGATGGAAAAGAATGAGCCTCGCTGATGTGATGGCTAGGAGACTGTCTCCCCACGAACGCCTGGGATGTAACCCAGGTTCTAAGGTCACCTGAAACTGTTCATTTGCTGTTGGTGCTTGTTAATATGCCTTTCCTTCCCCCTCTTCTCCTAGTATTGCTTCATAGTCAGGATAAAAAAGCCTCGTGTTTTGCCAGGCATTGAGAGCCATATCTTCTACCGTGCCTACACATAAAGAGGGGTTGGCAGAAGCTTATGTCCTATTGCACATACATATGGCTTAACACTTCTGTCTGAGAAGTAAGGGTAAGGAGCCTTAAAAATGAGATTCCCCATAGCTATAAGGGTGAATTCTCTTACATCACTCCGTTAACTCTGTGGTACAAGTTTTTGTGGTGGATCTACAGACTTTGTATGGAAACAGACAGGTAGGAAAAACCCCATGAGATACAGCATATGACGCCATGTAATGAGTCTTAATTTTTTCTGTTTGCCTGTTCTTCCCCTTTTCATTATTTTGCTAATTAAGGTTCCCCGAGTGATCTTAGTTCTCCTCTGCGATCTGTAGGTACTATTATATAGTTCTGTTTGTGGAAATGGTATATGGACCACTGCTGACCCACCAGAACAACTCTTCCATCCATCAGGCTTCAGCTGGTGTGATCAATCAATGCTGGCAGTCCCTTTTCCCAGGTCTGTTCAGGAGAATGGAGGGAGTAGGCAGTAGTCAGGGAGAATACTAACCTGCTATAGGTCTTGATAATTGACTACTCTCAAGTGCTATGTTTATAAGAGGCGTCTTCACAGGAAACTGTGTGTCGTACTGAAGGGATGGTCTAAAGACCCTGGTGAAAGATAGTGCCTGTCAGACAAGTTTCTGTTGCCTGTGTATGTTCAAGATATCCTTGTAGGAGACAGCTGCTAGGACTTGGCTGCACTAATCGTTCCAGGGTCAACAGTCTGCTTCTGGCAACCTCTTTTCCAGTGGAAACTCTAGAACATGTAGGGCATCAGTCACCCGTGTGCCTTTGTCCTGTAGCTCATCCATGGTAAACCCCGTGCTTCTGGAGCTCCCAAGGCTCAAGTATGTGCATGTATGCTGTAGGGCTTGTCCTGTAATAGGGAAGGGCCACGGCATGTAGTTCTTCTTTGTTCCTGAAGACACAAAATTGAGATTTACATAATGAGTTTCACTAGTTTTATATGCTGCTTAATCCAGTTATATGTCCAGATGGGGGGGAAAAAAGCTGATGGTAAAAAAAGGAAGTTAAACAACAGACGATATATATGTTGAAGTGTAATGTTCTGGCTCATAATGATATCCACATCAAGTGGTGAATATCTCGGCAGAAATGTCTTTTGTACTCTGTGTTTCTCTGGTCTCTTTCATTAATCTTGCTGTCATGAGCTCTGGTCTCTGAGCTTTTAACTTAAAATCTGTGCATTGCAGTTTCATCTTCCTGAGCAGTTCTGCTTATTTTAATTTTGAGATTCAGGTTCATGTTCATTTGAAGATTGTTCTATCAGTATATATTTGAAGGGCTTTATTCTGCTATTCAATAACTGTTAATACCTTGGAGCTCTGTAAATCTTTCACTACGAGGGGGAAAAAAAATAAAAAGATTGCACAAGATGGTGCGTTGCTATAAATTGGCATTCCTCTACAGAACTGTAAATTAAAGTCATAGTTCCTTAAATGAGATGAAATAGTCTGTAAAGTACTGCCTCTCTTTTTTTCAAAATCTGTGTGGAATAACTTTAGTAAGATGGTAGAAATAACTTCATTTAAAAAAGAAATTCTCTTGCATAGCAGTTCATCCTCCTAAAATTTTGCTGGTTGAGTTGCATGGAGATTTGCTGGTTTAAGTTGAATATTTAAAAAATGCTTTGTTTAGATTGTTAGCTGAAGGACCAGTTCTAAAGTGCTGTAAACAGAAACTATTGAGAAGTGAAGTAAATATATAGAGGGATTTACTGCAGCAAAGCTTAGTAACGGCTAATTTGTAGGCACTCCTGGCTGCAGGAGTGGAACTGATAGCTCCGAGTTGCGTGCTGAAGAGCCGTCTGCAATCCACAGAGATTTGGCTACATATGAATGAGTTTACACAGCTACTGTTTTGATTGTGGCAGTACCTGAACTCTAGTAAACATCAAAGAAATCCAGATGCTTAAGGGACTGTCTTGTATTTTGCATTAAACAACTGTTGGATAAAATATGGAAACTCTCCTTGAAGTAGATGCCAGGTCCAGAACTTGGCACTTTCCAGGAGGATGTCCCTTTGACTCTTGACTTGTGCTTGCTGTAGCTTCCTTGCCCTGGCTCCAGGGGTCTGGCAGTCCTTAGGATGAGCTTCAGTGGCGTGGGAGGAGTGTGTCTCAATTTGACAAGCCAACCTGCATCTCTGACATAGTCTTCAAATTCTGTCGAACGTAGCATTGTCTGTATATTTGTTGTACTTCGAGTGTAGCTACCTGAAAGGCTCCCTTGGGAGAGTTGGTTACAGTACGCTGACTTTGCAAATCCCATGCCTTCTAGGGTGTTTAGATGTATTTGCTACAGTCCCACAGTAATATGATTGTGTGCAAAACAGTTTTAGCTGTCTTGGGAACTTGAGGGTGAAAATGTAGGTTTAAGAGACTTCGTGGAACTAAACATGTTTGTTTTTTTTTTTCTCAGTCATGCATTTTGACCAAAAGGCCTAGTGTAATCAAGACTTGTATTTGCACATAAACCTTTTGTGAATTTAAGCATAAACATAGTTAATGGTGAACTACTTTTGTTCTGTTTTCAATCTCTACCCTGGAGATTAGGGTCTGGTGCCTGGGTAATAAAAGGTGTGAGGAAGGGCAAAAGTTTGTACATGAACAAGTTCAACCTGTTTAGGCTAGAAATATGAGGACCTGTAGTATTTCAGTGTTGGTTAAAGACAGGTGATATTGTGGCAAAATATATCTGTGATCTAGCTGTTGATATGAATGTCAAAGAATTATGAGTTCCTGTTTTCCCAGTGCAGAAGTAGCTAGGGAGCCTTGAAATAACTGTTTCTTCTTGGGAAGAGGGGGTGTTACTAACTGCCATTAGCTGAAGTGTGTGTGAAGAGGGATCTTGAAGTCTTGGGTGGATAGGGCTGATACTGCTGGGACAGAAAAACAGTTTTAAAGCATTATGTGCGTTTTGCAACCTGGAAAGTCAAGAAAGGCAGCATTTCTTTAATCGTGAAGCAATGAAACTGATCTCTTAAGGAGTTCCAAGTGAAGATGATAGTCTTTGCAATAATTAAATGAATGGCAGGCTTCCCCACCCCCCATTTTTTTTTCAAATCTGTTATCAAAGTCTCTAAACATTGTCCAAGTAAACACATTGGCAATCAAGAAACACTTCTGAAATTTAGCATTTATAGGTCTGATTTTGGAATGAAGCAATTTAAAGTTGAGTGGATCTAAACTGAGAACCAAAATCAACCTAACTCTAGTTTAAATTAATTTAAAAATAATTTTCTAGAACTTTTTTCTCAACACATGTTTTAATTATGACAAGTAGGACAAAAGTGTACATTATTTTAATTGCACAACCTAAAAACACATGAAGTGAGTCACACCAGTAGCTGAAATCAATAGACTGCATTCTATTGGTTGTGTAAGTATTATGGATCTTCATTTATGATTGTAAATTAAACATACTACAGATGCTGTACTACTGACTGCATAGCATCTTAAAGTGAAATATCAGATATTGGAAGTGTCTTATACATTACTCCCCAAATTTCTGAAAAATTAATATCTAAGGCAAAAACGTAAAAATAAGCTAAAGTGAAAATACGTTCTGATGTATAAATGATTTTATCAGTGCATTTATCTGTTTAAATAGTTGTGAAATATCTTTTGTGAAAATTTACAACAAATATTTGATACCATAATAAATTAATTAAAATTTGCATGGTAACATGAATTTGTCGATGTCTTACATTAAAATCATGATTTCTTTTGCACGCAAACCAATTTTCTATTCACATGATAACTTTTAAAATGGTATAATAATATGTTTGTTTATATATGCATACACACTAAATATTTTTTTTATATATCTGACAATGTAATGTAGACATGACACTTTCTTACAGTTTAGAATTTTTGTTTTTACATAGTTTAAAAATGGGACGTCGCTCCTCGGACACAGAAGAAGAGAACAAAAGCAGAAGGAAAAAGAAACACCGCAGGCGTTCGTCTTCAAGTAGCTCCTCAGACAGCAGAACATACAGCCGTAAAAAATCTGGAAGGAAATCAAGGTCAAGGTCACGGTCTCGAGATCTCCAGTCTCGTTCACATTCTTATGAGAAAAGGTGCATTTGTAGTAATTTACTGTCTGTTGCAGTTGTTTACAAATCAAGCTCTTTCATATTATGACAGAAAGCTAGACAGTGTTTGAATCCAATGCGTAATCAGTTCTAGGTTGGAATTTTATAGCAAAGTTTGCTCTGAATCTTGGAAGATGTGGCAATATTTTCACTTATGTTTAAAGAAAAAACCAAAACACCTTCCCCCGCTCCAAGAATACAAAACCAGTGTATATGCAGATCCAAAGGTAACTTCCCTACTAAAACAGACAAAAAACAGCCAACTAAAATAGCTCTTCCTTTCTCCTCCTTCTAAATAATGAATTTGGAATCTTTTTGGAAATAGACTACTTCATGCATTAACACCAGTTTGAAAAGTAGTTTCATTCAACTAGTTACAGACTATTTGGTGTTACTTTTTTTCTGTCGTAATAAACAAAGCAGGGCTTTCCAGACAACAAGGTAAGCTTTCTCAATAGAAAGACCTAGAGTGATTTTACAGTAGGTCTATAAATTTGCTGCAACAGCTAGTTTTTGCCATTATTCTTGCTATTTTTTATGTGTACAGAATACAGTAGTCAGCCAGGTGTTTAGAACACAGATCATGTGGCTATATCTACCAATTTTTTCTTGACGTAACATCCTATTTCCTTCATCAGAGACCCCTTTCAGTACCTGACTTTTTTTGAATACCCTTGTTGTGTCTCAGTCTGACTTGTGGTGATCCTGGAGTCAAACTGAACAGGTGGTGGTCAATTTATTAATAAGTGGAGCTGGAAAATACTCATTGTGTCTAGCTGCACCGTAAATATATTAGAAAGTGCTCCTGATAAACCTCTCTTTAGGTGGCAGAAGAGTGTGTCAATGAGGGGCAAGTTGGCTGGGTGGGGGGGGGTTTCTTATTTGTTTATTTCCATCCCCCCTTTCTTCTGTTCCTGCTTAGCATCTACATACAGCCCTTAGGGGACACAGTGAGATGACATGGGCTTCGATGCCAACAATATGCTGATGACATGCAGCTTTATGAATCTCTTTAGTCCAGTGCAGGCATGGCTATCTCACAGATAAAAACAGAGCTTGAAGGGAGATTAGACTCTGGATGAAGACCAGTTGACTTAAATTGAATCCAGAAAAGACAAAAGTGTCTGCTTTCAGGATCTGGCTGGCACCTTTGCTTTGCCCTTAGTTTAGGGCATTTGCTACTGGCAGTTAAGTCACTATTGCACACTGGGGTCCTGCTGGATTTATCTCCGACCCTTAAGAATCAAAAGCAACAGTCTCTAAGATTACTGTTCTTCATCTTCATTTAGCAGGAACACTGCATTCCTGTTTCAGATGAAGACCTGTTCTTTAGTAGTTAACTTACATATCTTTTCCAGTTTGGACTACTGCAGCACTACGTGTAGTAATGCAGCACCTTTTCCCTTATGCTAGATAAGCACGTATCACATTGACTGCATCCTGAATTACAGAAGTGTTTCTACGTGGTGTTATATTTTAATATTAATCAAACATAATAAAGGCCAAAAATAAGGAGGTTCTCATAAGGATTGTAATTGTTATTTAGTTAGCTGTTAGGGAGATGGAGTCAGAGAGGAAATTTTAAGATTAAGACTTGGAAGGTATCCCTCCCCCCAGTTTTGGGATTAGTTGGTTTAATTTATGTATTTATTATTTATTCTTTCACCTTTCTCCTATGTGTATAAGAATTTATTCTTTGAATAAATGAAATGGGGAGGCTGCGTGGGAGAGGAAAGGGAAGATACCTTTCTGACTTCTGACTGAACTCAGGATAAAATTTACAAGCTCAAATGGAATAAATTAACACTGATTGTTTGATTACTAATAGTACTAAAAAAAAAAAGGGTGGGGGAGGGTCTGCCTACATTGGAGCAGAACAAAGATTGCACGTTATGCAAGTTGAGATAACAAATTGTAAGGTTATATATATACATAAAACATTTTTAGGTGTACGTAGTTTAAAATACATTTTCATGTTTACATTTTATGTATGTACGTAGTATGACTGGAAATAATTGTATAGAGTAGCAATGCAGAAGTTAACGTTTTATGAATTTCATTTTTAGCACTGGAGTTGTAGTCCTTATCCCATACAATGTATTTCTGTGTAAATCCTGCTGAGAATGTAGGTTCTAAATGTTTCTTCAAGCTTAGATTGGGCAAACAGGGAGTGAGTTCTAATGAGCTGGTCCTGGGACTAAAAATCATTGAGAGCTGGGTTGTGTTCCTGGCTTTGCCTTTGAGATATTGCATGATTTTGGGCAAATCGGTTAACTTCTGTCTCTCCTGCCTTTTTTCTGTCTTGGGATGTATATTTTTGAATGTAAACTCTTTTAAGACAGGCATTGTCCATGTGTATGTGAATTACTTATTACAGTGTAATAGTGGTATTTGAGGCTTCTACAACATGTTATAATACAAAAAACACAGGCTTGTATGTCCCTTTTAAGTAAACTGTTAGGGTTTTTGTTCCTTTTTTTAGAAGCAGTAGCATACTAATAGCATGGTTTTGTTTTAGACGCAGACACAGATCGAGCAGTAGTTCTTCATATGGTTCTAGAAGAAAACGCAGTCGTAGCCGATCAAGGGGCAGAGGCAAATCCTACAGGTCTCAAAGATCGAGATCAAAAAGTAGAACAAGAAGGTAAGACTCTTTTCTAGGAAAAATAATTATTATTTCTACTGTAAAAACATTCATTTAAAATCTCCATATAGTTACTGAGTTTGGAATATATTAGAAAAAATGGTTGCAAGTGATCTAAACTACATGTCACTTGAAACTCTTCCTAATTTGAAATCTTTATGCTGTGCTTTTGGAGTACTAAATCTTTAAATTACACCGGTGGAACAGTTGGTTTTGAAGATAAGTTATATATTTTTGCATCTGTCCAAGTGCAAAAAGCATTAATAGAGTCACCTTGATTTAACTGTAATCATCTGAAAACTTCTTGTGGATTTTTTCTGATTACTGATTTCCGTAACTCCCATGCATAACATTGGCTCCCTGAAGATCAGACTGATCTGTTATTTTTCTCATCTGTATTTACCTTGGAAAGAGACGAGTATTTAGTTATGCACATTTTTCTTAATATTTAAAGATAGCTATGGTGCCAAATTTTTGATAATTTGGATTGTGACAAATGGATATTTTCAATAATAAACATAATGTAAATATTTAAATCTTAATCAGATGTTGCAAATTGTATTATAAAATCTGCTTCATACTTTTGTAATTAAAAGAAGATCAACTTTTGTGTGTGTGTATTTTTCAATTAAAAAGTTTAAATAAAGTTTATCCCTGGATATCAGAATTACTGTTAGCATTTTCTATTGAATTTAAATTAATTATTGAGTGTATCAGGCAGATCAAAGCTTTTTTGGTGTGTGTGTTTACAGATCTTCGGCCAGGTAATTTTGTATACCTGCATCAAGAATTTAGTAAAAGATGTTATTTTCACATGCCAAATCAGTGGAGCTGTTGCCTCTAAATGTTGAAAATTTGTTGTTGAAAGATGTGAATGTTTCACTTTGACTTATTCACAGCTGTTCATTACAATAGCTGTCTGGACACTTTTTGCTACAGTGCCTTTGTAGTAGCAATTTGGTTATTTAAACTGTCTGATCTCTCTTTGAGTATAGTTACCATATGAGCTGTAGACCCCAGATAAGCTACTATGCTGTGTGTAGAAATATTCCTGTAAATATCCACTGTTTTGCTAACAAAATCAGTTTTAAAACAACAAAATGTCAAAAGAATAAGGTGAAAATGAAGGTGTTTTTTTTGTCAGATATCATGTTTCCTAATGCTGAGTAACCTGATTTAAAGATCTCTGTTTTATTGTAATGAGTATAAACTGCAGATCTCATTAGACATAGTCTAATGGTCATCTTTTCCAAGGGGTTTACTGATGTTAATTGTCATTAGAATATATGGAAATTATGCACCTAAAAACTTTAAAAACATGACTACTGTTTGTTTCATTTTGTGCTAGGAAATATTGTGTATAAAATATTTTATGTATAAAATATACTAGCTTTTCAGTACTGTAGCTATGAAGGAATAGCTGTAGGTCACTTTAAATGATATTACTATTCACAGACATGGTTCTTCAGGGAAAATATTTATAAATAGCATCCTAAATTATAACAGAAGAGTCTTCTGGCATGTTAAAAGCATAAAACTAAAACCAACAGGACACATTGAATCCTTTATTGTAATTTTTTCCAAGTCTGCTCTCTGCTGTAATGTTACACTGAGAAGCCATGGATTAATCTTTTTTCTGGAGAAGAGTTAAGTAGGTTGCAGAGGGCTGCTACTGGAGGCCTGTGTTTTCCCTGTTTGTTAGCATTGAGGCAGTTGCAGCCATGCTAAATATTTCTTTTCTTTGCTATCTCAAAATCTGTCTTGTGCACTCAATCGAAGGTACGAACAGCTTTCCTAAGAGGACTGAGTACGTTATGATTCTTCAGGCTGGAAAAGAGATCGTGGGGGAAAGAGGGAATATGATGGAGGAGTATTAAAAAAAAAAAAATTAAAAAATGAATGGCATGAAAAGATGATTAACGAATGAGTGTTTCCTATCTCCTCCAATGTAAGACCTGGGGCAGGCATCAAAGTGAATGAAGTCAGCTGATGGCAGATCCTAGTCAAATAAAAGGAGATGGTTCTTATATATTGCATAATTAAGCTGTGGAAGCCCTTGCTGTTGGAGGTTGTGGATGCCAGAAGTTGAAATTAATTAAAAAAGCAGTCAGACAAGGAAAATCCATTCAAAGCTGTTAAATGCGAAGAGACGATATTTGTCTTAGGAAATGTATGTATTTGTAGCGCTGAAGTGGAATTTTCATAAGAATTTGGCATCTGTAATTAATTAATTTTTTTGCTTGGGGTGGGGCAACTTATTTTCATATGACTTCTAAAGGTAAGTACTGAAGAAAACATTTATGTAAACTAGCTAATAAAATGATCAGAAGTAGCTCAGGCAGCCACCTTGTGTTAGTGTAGTAAAGAGTGCATTACCCACTAAAGTATTCTTGTTGATCTCCAACTTCTGAATTGCTAGTGGCAGGGAGCAAAATCTACTGACCCACCTGAAAAGCCGCAATATGACATACAGCAATAAAGTGAAGATCTTCTCTATGCTACTTGTATTTGTAACGTTACTGTTGTACCTTCAGAGTACCACCTTCAGGACCTGAGCAACTGATTTC